GACAAGAAGTGCAAGGTCCTTTCCAACTCTGTTGTTTTGTTATTCTAAGAGCCTGGTTCAAATAGCAATATTTGCTCAGCAGTAACAGGGACATAGTTTGTCAGTGCTGCATTCTGATATATATATATATTTGAACATCCCAAACTAGCTTTGTTTTGCCCCATCATTCAATGAAGAGTTTCAGGCAACAAAACCTGAAATAATTTATTGAACAAAGCAAGTAAACACTTTTAACTACACATTAGAATATAGACAAGATAGGTAGCAATTAAAAAAAGATAGATTAGTAGCTATATTAAGAGTAGAAATGTGTAAGGTGAAGGTTTGTTCTCTGAGCTTGGTGAGTTTCCAAATGTTTTGTTACCAGGCTAGGTAGCATTTTCAGCAGAGTTTAGGGCAGGGGTCCCCAACCCCCGGTCCGTGGACTGGCACCAGGCCATGACATGCCAGAAATCAGTCTATGCAAACAAGCAAAGCCCCATCGGTGGGATGCAGGCAATATATGAAACCATGCCCTCTCTGGTCTGCAGAAAAACCTCTCCACAGAAGCAGTCCCTGGTGCTCAAAAGGCTGGGGACCTCTGCTTTAGGGGATGTCAGTGTTCTTTTTATAAGGGCTTCAGCTGTGGTGTGTCAAGTGAGGGTCTTGTGATGGGACAGGTGTGAGGGTCTTGTGATGGGACAGGTGTGAGTCATCAGTGACAGGCTTGTGATGGTTCTTGTGATGGGGAGGTTATATCAGGTCAGGGTCATTGGGAGGTGACTTGCTGGAGGGAGAGGGTCTTGCGTGGGTTGGTTGAGGGTCGATGCTATGTCTGATTGGCTTATAGTCATGGGGGATCTCAACCTGCCATCGGCAGGCGAAACATCAGCGGTGGCTCGGGAGTTCCTGGCCTCCATGACGACCATGGACTTGACCCAATTAGTTCATGCACCCACTCACACAGGAGGACACACACTGGATCTGATTTTTGTCTCTGGCCAGTGGCAGAATGATCTGGAAATGGGGGAGATAGTCATAG